GTGCGCCAATCCCCGAATGCTGGCCTTTAGCTACCACAGTTGTCATTTTGGCAGAACGCAGCGGAGATGGACAAGAAGGTTGGGATATTGGAGAAGCTGCAGATACGGCAACGGAAGCAGAATTGGAGAGTGAGGCAAGTATGATTTGTGTAGACGGGGTTGTTAGTGACGGAGTGGATGTAAAAATTGTGTCTGAATAGGACGATGTAGTTTGTGCTGTCGACAGTGGAATCGATGGTTTGGTGATGGCAGGTGGAGTGCCTGGCCTGGGAATGTGTGATGTTATTTTGTCTTCCTCCAAAGATTCTTCTTTAGTAGCATCTTCATCAGTCTTCTCTTTTATAAGTTTTCCTTGTTCAACTCGCGGACGATCTATAGTAGAGAGTTCTAGATCAGATGGAGAATTCGTGCAAGGAGTTTTTGGGAAATGATCTATTGTAAAAAAGGTAAGAGATCAAGGAATAGTCTAATAACAAACGGATTATTACGTGATATGTATCCCGGCTGTATACGTTAATATAAATTGGTGGCAGCAGAGAATTAGTATAAGCCAGTAATATAAATTCAACTACTTTCAGAGTTTGGACAAGCTTTAGACATGAAGAGAAACTAATTAAAATACACATACAAGTAGGTTGCTGTCTAGTTAAAACCCAAAGTTTGATACTTTGCACATGGACTACAATTTGAGGTTTATTTATTTATCACTATTTCGTAAGCCAGAAAGGCCCACTGGACTTAAGATCCTGTTAAATAGATAACTTAAATCAAAGTTGAGGTATGCGGCCGGTCCGAGTGAACACCTAATAATAGTGAAGTTGGTGTATTGGAATGTGCCAAGTCCATGGTCCGACACTGGGAAATATCATAACTAATAGAGAAGATGATTTCGGACAAGGGAGGTCGAACTAGGTCGTCTTGACAATAAGACCAAGTTGTGAAAACGGGGTCAAACCACTTCATTACACCGAAAAGAGGCTGAGAATAAAGCAAAGACCACAGCAGCTTAGTCCTCACACCTACGATTTAAGAGACTATGCTGATCAACCGATAAATAATAGTTGAAATCTAAATAAAGAGTTGGTAAATAACATGCCAAAGGTGTAGATTGGTAAATGTTCAACTTTAAGCGTACATTTTAGAATAAGGGCTTTTAATGAATTAAGTCGGCCAACACACATAGTAGGGATAAATGGAACTGTAGGAACCAAAGCATTTTACTTTAAATAAAAAATAAAACGTATAACTAATACGTATTTAATAAAGTACTAACATAAAGTTAAACAAAAACAAAAACATACTTTTTTCTGTGACTCGTTTCTTATCGTTCGAGACTTCGGCAAACAAACTTTCGGAGTCATTTTTGCTAAACACGGAAGCCTCTTTCTCTCGATCTTCCTGAAATTCTATCTTAATTTTGTCATTAGACTTTGCTGGCGCAACTTCATGGCTCCACATATCGCCATCATCGCTAATACTGCTAGCTACACTAGCTGCATGAGTTGTACTGTCGCTTAGCGAAGGCTTCTGAGCTGAATCAGCAGTAGAATCGCCGCTTATTGGAAGTACATTTAGATTACTCTTGGAAGACATCGTAGAGGTGGATCGTATGCGCCTATAGATATAGTCAGTAAAAAGTAAGAAGGATAAAATACAATCAAAGTATTGATCTGACATAATAACGAATAAAAACGAGCTAATCTGAAATATAGCTTGATGTTCTTGATAAAATGAATAAATGAGCGATTAATGGTAAATAAATAAATGAATGATAAATCCTAGGTAAATATCCTTCGTCCATTATAAGGCAGCTATATTAGATGCGAGAATAATGAATATTCAAAGCTGAGGCTTCTACTGGACAATATCATAGAAATAGGATCGTAAAATCAAGATAATTGGTTATTTTTAAATTTATAGTAGTTTGAGTCTATTAGGAGGAAAATGGTATTACGGCTTTGTGATAGCTGAGAGCATAAAGATTGTAAATATTCCTTAAATAAGCGTCTCACTTGTCTCTCTTTGTTAAAACATGGATGCAAACAAATAAAATGTAGATATGACGAGAAACTGGGTTTCGATGAATTCCCTGAGATAACATTGTTGGAAGGACTTTCACTCCGTATGAAAGTGAATGAAGAAGAGATTCGTAGGTCGATCTCACCAGAAGGACGGATGAATCCCGTTGTACTGCAGTAAAGATGAGTTGAGCTTTCGTCCATCATATAATGGACATCACCAAAGCTGGGTCCCATTCCTGTAAAAGCCTCACGTTAACACTAGGGCAAGAAGACTATCCGGGTCTATCTTACCTCTTATACAGACTCAGTTAAGCCAAAATTAAAATTAAAAACCTTGATAGATATAAAGTGGTTTGGCCAGTTATCCTTCATACTGGTCCTACTACTTTTGCTTGTGTGTGCGTGTGTGTATGTGTGTGAGTCTACGGTTCGGCTCTGGGAATTATCATGCATACTATGGACTCCGAACTAAATGCGCTCCTCTATGTCTTCTTGCCAATATGACCAAGTTTCAAAAACAAGGTCAAACAACTACTATACAACGAAAGGAAACCAAGGCCATACAAAAGCCACACCATCTTGGCCTTCATACCTTCGAGTAAAATGTACTTATTTAAAATAAGCTATTCTATAATACCGTTCAAAAGGTTCCTTGTTAGACAACTCTTGCTTCTAACAGTATGTAGACCCAATTTCAAATGAAACCTAAAATTTAGCAGGATATTTTCATTGAGTATTTGTGACCTGATAAAAACGTATCAGGAATGAATAGCTAGCAAAATCGGATGTACCGTACGGATATCCTAAAGTATATATTTAAAAAGAAAGCATACTTGTTGAGGTAAATGATATGTGGTTCCATCCTATTATACTTTCCATCTTCTCAGTGAATTATTTCCTGTCCATTATCACTGTTTCCGCCCATTTATCCGCCTTGAAGAAAATGTGCTCAATTATCTGTACAGTTCTGCGTATCCTTTTTAATATGCTATTGCCTATGGGCTCTTTATGTGTCGAGATTTCCATCCCAATTTATATTTTTGTCTGCTCGCAAAACGTGTGAGAGATATTCATGGCCTCCTTAAGAATGTTTTATAAAGCATTTTACTTAAATAAGTTTAATCCCTTCTTCATGATCTCAGTTGTTTTGAAATCAAATAGAACAAATGATAAAGTCACCACTTTTTCCCATATCGTCAGTGGATGTCGTTAACTCGGAAACCATATTATCTGGGAGCATCGGCTTGATATTATGCTGTCATATAATTCCATATATAGGAATACATCTAAGTTATCAAATCTACGAATCTTTGTGACTTCTTATAAGTAACACAGCAGATTCCTTGCAAATCTTCATCCTACTATCACAGGATTAGATTAAATTATAGGTGGATAAATTGCAATCATGTTCGAATGGCAATGTCTCTTGATATTAAGGAATCCAAGAGTGATGCCATAACGTTTACAACAGTTATTCGGCCAAATAAAAAAAATGGTTTTCGAAGAATCACCTAAATAGTTAGCGACTCGGCTTTTATTTAGAAGACAAAATTTGATGGAAGGAATGAATGAATTGGACTTGACTGAAACCGAAGAGGATTGCCTTGAAGTAAAGTGTTAGATTTTGCGAATAAGTCTTAGATTCACTGTCCTTGAAACGAGACGATTTACCTTTTGGTATAGTAGAATGCTAAGGTTTCTTATAAAGTATTGTTTCTCTCTGAAGATGTCAATCGCATAACAAACGAAAGCTCAGCACGGATTTACCGTAAGCGCAGTACGGTCAATCGAGAACCGCTTCTCATAAAGAGTCTTGTTTCAAAGGCTATCCTCCTTCTGGTATCCGGTGCTGCCAAATTACTAATTACTCCAAACAAACTTTACCTAGGGAACTAAAAGTAGAATCAAAATAATTTGGCTGTTGGTATGGATAAAAGTGAGGACATAATGAAATTTAAACTATAAACTTTTTGAAAATATGAAGACCAGGATGGTGTGGCCCATTATATGATCGCGGACTCCCTTCGTTGTATACAAGTTATTTGAGCTTGTTCTCGCAATCTGGTCAGTGGCAGGAAGACCTCGTCCGAAGTCCATAGTTGTACTATTAGTAGCATGTTTAGTCTCTTGCAGGAATGGGACGGTAAAGAACTCGTCTGGTTTGGCTAAGCTGATCTGACTTGTCTGATGGCAATATGAGTACTATAAGAGATGTATTCACCCTATTTCGTTTGAGGTGATGAATGATTGCTAGTAGAATTTCTCCACAATGATATGAATAGAGCTGACGTTTCCATTGAATTTCAAATAGCCTTGCTTTCCCCTCCTCAACTTTCACCTCCCGCTGAGGGTGTTAATAAGACCTATACGAGGTCGAAACTGCAGTCCATCCTAGCAAAGCAAGGTTATGTGAAACTCAATAGAAACGTCAGATCTACTCATATCACTGTGGTAAAACTCTATTACTAGTCCTTCATCACCTTAAACGAAATAGGGTGAATAAATTTTATATAACTGATTTACTGGGAGTCTCAAAACTATATTTATATACAAAAAATAAGTAATATAATCGATTGTTCTAGCAAAAATACGTTTGCTTCATCGACAATCCCACCAAGGAATGTGATATGTGAAAAGACCTGGCCTTTCTTGAAATTCACATCTGCCCTGTGACTCAAAGGGCCCTCGTGGTAATGTGGCCGAATGGTTAACGTGTCAAGTTCACATGCCTTACTTTCACGGTTAGACTTCTGCTGGGGGTGTTGATAATACATATGCTAGGTTGAAAGCGCAGTCCACTCTGGATGAGAACAACTTTTAGGAAGGCAAGGCAATTCGAAATTCAATGTAAACGTCAGCTACCCTCATCATTGTGGGACAATTCTACTACCAGTCCTTTATCACCTTAAACGAAATAGGGTGGATACATCTCATATAATGTGATATGATATCAAGCTCCTTTGCGAAAATTAGAGGAGAGATATAATAGGAAGAGGGTAAAATTATTTAAGTTTTTATATATTAAATCCAGACTCAGGCATGTTTCAAGTCAAACTCTCACCCCAGATAATTTCTCAAAACTGCAGGTGTCAGAATAAATGGCGAAAATAATATCGGACTTAATTAAAAAAAAGGCGCCAGAAGAAGTTGAATAAATATGAAATATATAGGCGGCCCAAGGTATAACCGTCAGAAAAAACGAAAATTCCTCTAGGCTGAAGGGTCTCAAAGTGCAGACAAGAAATGACGATAATGTAGTTGATCTATATTCCGTCCCGCTTGACCTGGAAACCACAGAGATCCTCTAGAAAGGACTAAATTTTGCATTTCGGAATGAAAGGAAGGATATTTTAGTAGAGATTATAAATACATCTGAGGAGCTACATGAAAAATCAAGAGCTGGAAATGGAAAGCATCCTAAATATCTTGGCGCATCAAGAGCCCACACATAGGGACAATATATATAGGGAGAGAATTGAAAAGAAATGATCAAATAGTCCTAAAAGTCTAAAAAGAGATACAACAGTGGTGATAGACAAGAAAGAATATACAGGGAAAATGGAAAATATTATCG